CGAACTTAGACTTTCTTACTTGTTGATGTTGAAATTGTACTTAAAATCGTCAAATTGTAATATAGTACTTTTTAAAATTAATTGTACTGAAAAAAGTGCAATCGTACTTAAAATATCAACACTGATCTTCACCCCAAAGCTTTTCTGGAACTCTTCAACTCTTCGACGTGGAGAACACGGTAACAGATCGCTGGGTACCAGACCACTGCGGTATCTTATTTATTTTCTCATAGAATTGAAGTGAGTTCGTGGACTCTGTTTGTTTATATAATGACTTCGAATATAATGACTTCGAAGTGGCTTAACGCAGAAGGAAACTGTGGAGACAGAATACACTGGGCTTCACTGATTTTTTTTATGCTGATTACGAATGCGTAAGTAAAAAGTTTTCATCAGCTCCAAATTTTGAGAAAAACGAGGTCAAATTGTCAAAAAATTGGCAATATTTAAGAACCTCTAACAAAGAAACAAGATTAGATAGAACTTTCCACTTAGACTTAAATTAAAGCTAGAGCTCTCGGTTACTATCTCTAAAAATACCATAACTGCACCTTGACCTTATTATGGTCACTTATAGTCATTTATTTGTCCTACAATATCAAAAGTCTTTCGAATTACCTTGCCATCTCTCTTTTGTTTGCCTTACGAAAGCCTTTTTGCTATCTTAGCAGGAATTGCCTTATTAGTCTTTCGAAAGCCAGTAAAAAGCTTTCAAGATAGTTGCCAGCATTGAAAATTGTCTTATGAAAGATTCTTGTCTTTGCAAAGTCTGCGGTGAGTTGAAAGACAGTTGCCAGAATTCCCCTGTTAACTTTAATTTTGATTTTTAAATCATTGTTCACTAAATTTTTTTCCGTTCATTAATAGTTGAAATAAACATATGAAAAAAATAAAATTGTTATACTCCTTTAGGTCCAGACAGCCGATTAAGAATTATAAAAAAGTTGCAACTTTTCGAGTTAGACATGAGCACATTTTGTGGCCTTTTATAGCCTTTTTACAGTCCGCGACGGTGATCGAATTTGTTTCATATGAAAGTAGAGCTTTAATGGCCGCCAGAATGTCTATGTAAATGTTTATTTGCTCGCTTATTGGGTTAATTTCTTGCAGTATCTCTGCCGCTTCTTTTGTTATAAAGACCTTGGCTTGGGAGATATTGCAGTGATCTGGTAGCCTAAAGAACCAATGATTTTCCAGTTCTGTGCATTATACTGCAGGCCCGCCTCCTTCGTCCATTTTAGAACCGTATGTGAAGATATGCGTTGCGTTCCCTTTCCACTCCACGCCCTTATGCCAACCATCAACTGCTATTGTAGCTTCTAGAAACCTTTCGAAACCCAGTCGCGGTATCAGGTAGTCTATTCGACCGGTTAAGGATGGACGCTATACTACTGTGACCATACGTTATGAATTCAAGCTGAAGGGCGGGATAAAGCCTCGCGGCAGATGTAAACGCCAGGATCTTGGCTACCAAGTCTGGCTGGTGGCATATGTACGATTTCGTGGAGCGCCGCCGTCGGTGTTGTCCTCAAGGCACCCGTTATACTGATCATTTAGAGCCTGTTAACACTGTCCCGTCTTTTAAAGTCTATCTGCTTTTCCTTTGCTGTTCGCCACACCAGTGCTCCATAAAATAGTATTGACTTAAAGATTTCCAAGAATATCCAGTGCGAAAGAGCGGGAGAAAGTCCCCAAGTGCAGTCAAACATCCTGTTAAATGTATACAGTTCTGCCGAGGACTTCCTCAGCCGCTCCTCCGCTTTAACCCTCCACGACATTTTGCTGTCCAGTACGATTCCAAGGTACTTCGTGGTTCGCTTTGATGGAGTAGTGGTGCGATCTTGTATTTCCTAGGGAATAATACTAGGTCAGCCTTCGCTTCGTTAACGCTCACACCCTGAGGGTCCCAGTGAGCTCAGATACATTAGACATTTACTGCTTATGATAACTTAGCATGGCTGGTCCTCCTTCTATGTTTCTCCGTAATTTATTTACCACAAACGTCCATAGACGCTGTGATAGCACCCTCCCTGTTGTGTGGCTATATGGACGTCTCGCATGCGCTCAGATGTTTCTACAGCCTAACATGTTGCTTATCCAAGCCCGAAGGGTAGGATGTGTCCCTATCAAGGTGATCCTTTCTATTAGAGCTTGTTTTGAGACGTTATTAAACGCTCCCGCTATGTCAAGGAACACTACTAAAGCATATTCTGCATATTTAATGGCTCCTTCTATCCGTCCAACAACATTGCGGAGAGCTACTTATGTCGTCTGATTTGCCTTTAGTGTAAGCGTGCTGAGCTTTCGAGAGTTGTCTCTTATCTAAATGTCCTTTGATGTGTATGTGTGTATATCTATTAGCCGTTCCAGGGTTTTCAGTAGAAACTGAACACACATCATTTCTGACCACCCGAAAAAATTTCAAACAATAACATTTACATACAAACATGGTTATGATAATCTTTATTTAATAAAAGAAACATAAAAGAATAAAAAAAGACGATGAAAAAAAGGCATAAATCAAGACAGTACACATATGTACATATCTACATATTTACGTAAATACTTATGGGTACTAGTTTTTTATGATTTCTTGCTATAATGTAGTTCTTTCCAAAGCTGGTGATGACGCGTTGAAACTACAAACCGCAACTGTACAGCGCAAATTTCGTAGTTGATAGCAACTAATGGAATCCAAGCCAATTTTTTTTAACTTTATTTTCTATTTTTTATTTGTCATTAAGTTCTTTTTTGGTCGGAACTAAGTAAGTATGTACACAAAACCACGCGTGCAGAAATCACCACTCAGTCTATTTTAGTATATTTTTTTCCTTAATAACAATGCAGATTATTAGTCGAATTTGAATTTATCGGGATTTTTTGGATTTTTTTTAGAACAAGATATTAGCTAGTACGGCATTGCGTACTGCTTAAAATTAGCATAAGAACCAGTACCGGTAAAGTCATTCGTCTGCTTATTGTGCAAAATTAAACAAAAGGCGGCGAAATGCATATAAATATGCCGGCGAGCAGTAGTAAGGTATTAGTTTGAATCGCTTGATTGAGTGAAGTGCAGACAACAGGGATCTACATATATTCAAAATGGTTAGTGTGAAGTGTCAAGTGTATACTATTTGAGCATAACTTCTAAAGGGCGGCTTTTGAAAAATAACCTTGCTGAGAATTTAATTAAATAAATAAATGCGAATAAATATAAGCAGTGCTAAAATTTCTTTTCGAAAATTTAAGGAACGAAAAAGAAATTTAAGTGCTCTTAAAGGAAATTTCGGTCCTCCAAATTCCTTTCTTTCTAATACAAATCTTTCTTTTTTCTCATTTCCTACAGAAACTCTTTGCCGCCATCGTATTTGCCGTGTTTGCGTGCGTTGCTGCCGATGTCAGCCACCTGAGCAATACTTACCTGCCGCCATCGCAAGGCGCTGCTAGCTCAGTTTCTTCAGAGTACCTACCTCCAGCGGCCAGCACACAACATGCTTCTTACTCGGCGCCAAGCTACTCGGTAGCTGCTTCGGCACCAAGTGTGTCTTACTCGGCTCCAGCTCGCTCCGTCTCTTACTCTGCGCCAGCTGCTTCTGCGTCTTACTCAGCACCAAGCTACTCGGCCGCTGCTTCAGCCCCAAGTGTGTCTTACTCGGCTCCAGCTCGCTCCGTCTCTTACTCTGCGCCAGCTGCTTCCTACTCGGCACCAAGCTACTCAGCTGCTGCTTCAGCTCCTAGTGTATCGTACGCCGCTCCATCCCGCTCTGTGTCATACTCAGCTCCAGCTCCAGCTGCTTCCTACTCGGCTCCAAGCTACTCAGTCGCTGCTTCAGCTCCTAGTGTATCGTACGCCGCTCCAGCTCGCTCTGTGTCATACTCAGCTCCTGCTCCAGCTGCTTCCTACTCGGCTCCAAGCTACTCAGTCGCTGCTTCAGCACCTAGTGTATCGTACGCCGCTCCAGCTCGCTCTGTGTCATACTCAGCTCCTGCTCCAGCTGCTTCCTACTCGGCTCCAAGCTACTCAGCCGCTGCTTCAGCACCAAGTGTCTCCTACTCTGCTCCCTCAGTCAGCTACAGCGCTCCCGTCGCTGCTGCTTCGGTCTCCTCACCTTCATACTCCAGTATTGACACTCAGTATGGTTCCAACGGCGGTTACATCTACCGCAGACGTCATTAGAATAGCAATTATTCTAAGTAACTATGTGTTCAATAAGAGATATTTTTACTAAAAACGAAATAAAAACGCAATTTTTACACTTCTGAATTCTATGCATTTCATTCCAAAACTTTATTCTCAGATCCATTAGGTGAAAATGCACTCTGTGGCATTATCGGTAATTCGAGATACAGAATATTTTGCTTCTGCTTGAGCTTCAAATTTGCTAGACTTTCACGATTGCGAAAGTAAATTGGTTGTGAGCTAACTTCGGCGGTTGCGATCAAATCGATGGGTTTGTTAACGTGTCCACCCATAACGCCCTGGTAGGGCCAGTCGGTAACAAGCTGAAGGCGATGCCGAGTTATCAGCTCCGTAGGCTTGACATAGATGTGAGGGGGTGCGTTATCTCCTGGTCGCGGATAGAAGTATATATGCTCCGTCATTGGCTCATGCACCGTTTGCGTTGATACGGAAGTGATGAGCAAGTAAAATGCGAAGACGATGAGCTGCATCTACAAGAAATACCATATTGTTTACATTGGAAATATTTTTTGTGATGAAATGAAGTTTTCTACTACCAACCTTGTTATGCCGAACACTTCCTGCGCGTATAGCCAACGTTCCAAACGCACAAGAATCATCCAACTAAGCCTTTCTGCTCGTCTTCGCATATCTTTTATACGATGCGTGCGTTAATTTCCTCATTTTCGCTGTTTTCTTCCCTGCTTTTCTACGTTACAAGCAAAGAAAAACAAAAACACGTACAAAAAAAAACGAAAGTAATTAAGCCAATTGGCGCGTAAAACGCTGTTTAAACTCGGTCACACGCTACGTCGGCACTGGAACGCGCTTTGTGGCCTACGGAGCTGTTGCCGGCCTGCCTGCCAAACTGCCGTCGAAAGTCGCCACCAGCAAGCGTGCGACCGACACCCAACGGTGGTCGGGTTTAACAAGTTTGCGCAGTGTCTACCTGCGGACGCTGAGGATTTTTTCGCTTTTTTCTACAAAGACTTTTTGCTTAATTCTTACTTTTTTCTTGTTGCAGTTAACCTTAATTCTTAAACGCTTTTGGTTCTTTGCAATAACAACACCCAATAAGTCGCTTCGTCTTTGCTTGGAAGCGTGGCATTTGTTATTGCCAAAAAAATTGTTTGCAATGAATTAAGAAATACTTCGACAAGTAAGTTTGAGTTGATACAAAAAAATTAAATTAAGAATTTGACACAACGAATATTTAATTGCAATATGTAAATAAGTTTTTTATTCTTACATAATGGAGCTTTATCGGGCGTACTTTCTAAATGTGAATTAAAATTTTTTGTGACTAACGGCACTATACAAAAAAATCGAGATGAACAAGTAGCAGGAACATTTCGAGTTGTTGATTTCATTTTCGGAACAACTTTCACATCCACAGCTGTAAAGATTTGTTAAAAAAAATTAATTTATTTCAGCAGGTTTGTGTTTTATGTAAATGCATTTTAATTTAATAAAAGTACAAATCTGTTATTCCAACTTTTCAAAGCTACATATGTATTCCGAACAAAAAAAAACATTATATATATATATGTATATGTATGTATGTAAATGTTCTATACCAAAATGGACGGGGTTCACACTTCATGTGTTTGATTTGTTTCAAATTTTTAGGGTCGATGGATAAACATAAATAATAAATAAATATGAAATTTGAGCTTGATTGATAAATTTTTAAAAACTTTACAGCACAAAAACATAAAGAAAATTCTCTATGAAAAGAAATATTTTTTAATTATTTTTCCTGAAAAATTTTTCATATACAATTTTTTTTTATAAAAAAAAATAGTTTTTGAAAATATGCCATCTCTAAAAAAATGGAAAAAGTCACAATGATAGCTCTGAGTATTGCGCAATATTTAAGTATAGTGTTATTGNAATTTTTAAAAACTTTACAGCACAAAAACATAAAGAAAATTCTCTATGAAAAGAAATATTTTTTAATTATTTTTCCTGAAAAATTTTTCATATACAATTTTTTTTTATAAAAAAAAATAGTTTTTTAAATATGCCATCTCTAAAAAAATGGAAAAAATCACAATGATAGCTCTGAGTATTGCGCAATATTTAAGTATAGTGTTATTGGTTGTACTCTACAATAATTTGAGTTATGAATTTTTTACACCGAAGTTGAGTAAAATAAGTACATACATACATACATTTTATCGAACGGCTCATCTTGTATGGCGATTGAACAGCCAGATATTGCTATTTATAAGGACACAATTATATTTCAAACTTTATTTTTTCGCTTCACTTGAATAGGTATATATATTTCCCTCAAGATCCAAAGTTATACATATCTGGACTTGTGAGCATCAGAGAAATTTAATTTTTATCTCGTTTTGAAGAATGATTAATTTTGAAGAAAAATTATGCTTATTATTTTGATTCACTTGAATAGGTACAGTGGTTTTAACACAAGGAAAGGTTTAGATTGAACCAACAAAGCAAAGGCGAAGCTACGTACTTACATATATTCTTATATTTGAATCGGACATAAAATTAAACTCTACTTCTTTACGGCGATAAGTCCAATCAAATAATCATGTTCAGGCATTCCTTCTGCTGTCTATTACAATGAANTTATGCTCATTATTTTGGTCCACTTGAATAGGTACAGTGGTTTTAACACAAGGAAAGGTTTAGATTGAACCAACAAAGCAAAGGCGAAGCTACGTACTTACATATATTCTTATATTTGAATCGGACATAAAATTAAACTCTACTTCTTTACGGCGATAAGTCCAATCAAATAATCATGTTCAGGCATTCCTTCTGCTGTCTATTACAATGAAACTCAAGCAGATTCTTATCTAGAGTGAGCTAATCTTTTTGCTGATTTCTTCCGTTCAAACTTTGAAGTAGACACGGACTTGGGTTGGGAGTGACACTTGAATAAAAATGCCCCAGTAAATTTCAGGGCATTAACCTAATTGCTTCCTGATGTAAAAGATGGAATTCGGCTCAAGGCATCTACATATAAAGGCTGATGTAGGCGAGTTATCTTCGTATCGCGCGATCTTTTAATTATTTTTATAATTTTTCGGTATTTTTATCATCATTGTCTTCTGTTACCACTCAAAACTAATGCACAAAACACGTTGTTGTGGTGTAACGGCTAACATAGCCCTTAATTGTGCTCAGGATCAACTAACGGTAGGCCTAGGAAGCTTCAAGTTTTGATGGCGTCGAACCAGAGGGAGAGGGATGTTAGTTGAGTTAGATTGAGTGGTCATGTCAAGAGGTGGTTGTTGTCATGGGGGGATTGTCAGAGCTACGCGGGTCTGTCGTGACACAGGAGGTGATTGGACACTGATGTCGGCATTCACGCGACTTGACTTATAAATTACCTCAATGGTGCCCTCCATAGCCAATTCATCAGCTATGGAGTTTTCAGCTAATGACACTGTGCTCTGGAGCCGCCTGATTTGGAATTTACTGACGCGATCGACGGAGAGAGAAGTTAGTCATTCTGAGACCAGTTTCGATTGTACCTTGAGCGATCCTTGAGCCCTTAATGCCAATTTATATTCCAATCGGAATTTGACTGGAACTGGTCTCTCGATAGCCTTCTTAACAGCGGCCACTTCTGCCTGAAATACGCTGAGGAAATACGGCAGTTTTAACATGAGATTTTCAGAGTTCCAGGCAGAACATACATCCTCCTAATTAACCGTCCAACGATAAAATCTTAATGGAGAGGTAACGGTAGATAAGATTATTTATTACAAAAATTTATTAATAGAGACGTAAATTACTCCAATATTACCTTTTACTTTTTTAATTTGTTTGTTTTCTTTATGTTTGAATAGCACATAATTATCTGTAGAAAACACAGAGAGCCATGTAGGTATGTATGTATGTATATACCTCAGACCTTCTTCTGTCCGCCCATTGATCAGCGCTAGGAACTCAATATTTTAATTCAAGTTTGAAGTTTGAATTTTAAACTAATTCAATAATGAATTAGAACTATAATCTGAATTGGCATGGGAAATGGCTAACGCTGACGAGATGACATGATAAGATCAGTTGCGTCATGGCTCTTTGGGATCTACCTTATGGGCAATAGCGCCGGCGTTGCAAGACGTGCCGGAGTCGCCGCCGCCGCCGATTCTTTTCGAAGTTGACCACGCCGCCGCAACAAAGCTTGTCGGCGTAAACCTATAGTACGCATAGATGATGATGCTCCGGAAAAAAGATGTTTCGACTCGGCATCCATGGGTGGATAACAAAAGCAATGAAGCCCACGAATAAAGTGGAAAGACCGGCAGTAGTGCACCTAAATGAAAAGCAGTTCGGCCTAAAATACACAACTTGGAAAATTAACAGATACTTTGTGTAATCAGCCAAATCTGGCAGAATGAGGGGTATGTAAATAGATGTTGCATGTTGTCAGGGGCGCCTGCTGTTCGTTTGGAGATTTTTAGCGATCGAACTTAGCGAGAGCTTATGCTGGAATCCACCTGTTGCCTGCACTTGGTGTGTACCGCTAGCATAACTTCGGAAAGGAGAGAAACGGTTGTAGTGCCGTAGGAATAAGCAAATCTTTTAAGTACAATTTTCCCAGTTGGGTGTTAATCTTCGTTCGGAGTAAACGGTTGATTTTTAGTAAAACAAGATTGATGCTAAGGTGTGGTCCACACTTAAAAGAGGCCAAAGTTTGCAGCCTTTTATAATAAAAGCTATTTACTACACTTTTACAAACACATATTTTAACTTACAAAATACCAAAATTAGTTGATGTTAATCACTTTCTCTCAATTCGAAAAAATTTTATTATACATACATATTCTCGGGGTAACAGCTTTATTTCGTTTATATGTATGTACCCGTAAGTATCGTTTACATAGTTACGGTTGAACAGCTGAAAATCTTTATTGCAAATGCTCAAGGTTTAACGCATAAGCGCACCCAGTAAATAGTTCAACGGTTCACAGACTGTGCAGAAAATAAAAAGAAAAATTTTTCCCATGACTTCTGCGTATGCGCACCGGGGGTTAGCTTGTTTCTTCTCGCACATAAACTAAAATCGCACCGACTGTCTCAAATTTCAATTAGCT